CGGTGCAAGACATTGCACATCTGGTGGGGAGCTTGCTAATGTTTCTTCACTCCTGATGTTTATATATCTCCACTTGTGGTGACCCCTTTTGGGGGACCCCGGGGGGGGGAGAGTGAAGGGGGGAAGAGAGTTCCTTTCTAGTGGTGGGAAGCTGCACCTGTTGGGAACCGGGTCCACCTAGATGGGATTTCGCCATGATGAGGCCCCCTCATAGACCCTTTCAGAAACCTTCACGCCAACAAAGACAGCTTTCTCATTTATTATCAGCAAATCCCGCGCCAATCACGCTTTTTCACAAGTCTTTCCTACGCACTAATGGCCTACAAGGTGCAACTAAGGAGGTAGACATACCCCCCCACCCCCCCACCCCCCCCCGGCACACCCTCTGGACTAGGCCATAAACCCATTCACCTTCTACTCAACTTTGATAACCAGATTGAAAAGGGCCAGGGTTACTAGTGCTTCAGCAATTCCCTTTTTTCAAGTTTTTGTTGAAGTGTTTTGAAGTTTTTTGCGTGGCTGGAACAACTTGACAACTCGGTTTCGCTAGAACCGGCTCTTCGAAAAAGAGACAAGAGGCTGCCAACCAGTCCAACCACCACCTTTTTTTTTTTTTTTTTTTTTTTTTTTTAAACACCACTACAGCCAGAAATAGGAATGCACGGAAGAACGAACTAGAACTGGCAATCCAGATCACAGAGATGGATCTCCACTTGAACCCCACCAGCAATTTCTAGCATCTGTGAAATGCCAAGGAGGAACTGGCTGGGTGGGGAGGGGGGGAATTAAGGGCTCTACAGGTCCACGCAAGGATGACTGACTTTTTCTCCCTAAATGAGCCTATGACTCTATGACCAATGTTTCCTTCACCAAAATCTGGGCGGACACACGAAACAACGTGATCGAAAGTTTTCGGGACTCAGCTGACCCTATTTTACGCTAAAGAAAAATGGTTCTGGAGATGGTGAGGATTGCTAAATCTTCCTACGCCTCCCTACGTGAGACCAAACACCCCACCTCTGCCCCACCTCAGACATCAGCAGCACGCCAAAAAATGTTGGCCTATCTGGAGAAGACAATCTGCCCAAAACAAGCCACAGTATAAGACAAGCCATCTCTCGACAACTTAAGAATCGCACGAGGCCCTCGAGGGAATGGACCATGAGAAAACATTAGCTGCTAATGGCATAACCAAAGAGTTCCGGTCCCAGTTTTGCCTTCCCTGAGTGAAGACCTCTGAATTTCTTTTTTTTTTTTAAAAAAAAAAAAAAAGAGAAAACATGAATTTCTTCAACGATAGCTGGGACAAAAGGGGACTCCCAGTGTAATCTCTCTCCTCCGCAAGAAAGGCGTAGACCTGAAGAATTACAGACCTATCTTCCTTTTGACAATACAAGATCTTAGCCGAACCCCTAGCAAACCGGAATTCTAAATCTTACCAGCCAATGCTTCCCTTGAACTCTGGTCTTCGTAGACCACCTGAATTCACGGGAAAAAAAATAATAATCAAAATAAATAAATAAATAAATAAATAAACAAAAAAATAAAAAAAGAGCTTCCATAGAGCAGGCAGGTTTCATTCCGGGTCAACATATTCTGGACAATGTGATGTCGCTAAATGAAGTCTCCAAGACAATTGTAGAAAGGTGCATGAACGCTGCCATACTTTTTTTTTTCTTTTTTTTTTTTAACAACCCAAGTGGCTGCTAGGGGTGCTGATAAGATTTTTTTTTTTTTTTTTTTTTTTTTTTTTTTTTTTTTAACCACCAGTACCTCCGAGCCTGTTTTTGCGGACCCTGATTTATAGTGCGCACCGAAATTTGCCGAGCCTGTGTCCCGCGGAACCTCGGAGTCTTTTTTTTTTGTTTTTATTTTTTTGAAACGGTATAGTTTCCACTGGTGGCCTTGTCGTCCTCCCGTACGGTCCAATGAACGGACACGTCCATGGGCGGGATCCCTGTGGTTCGTGGCATGTTTGGTGGCCGAAATTGTTTTTTTTTTCGTCCGGGGCAGTGAAAATTTCGTGTTTTTTTTTTTTTTGCAGGCCCCGACCGTCGTGTCGCTTCGCCGGCGACCGGGAGCGTGGAGTGGTGGGGGGTGGACGTCGGCACGTTGGCCGATGGAGGGACGCGGGCGTTTGCCATCGCCGCCGTCACGTCCCGACCTGTGTGCCGACCT